TAGACACACGACAAACATTCATATAACAGTTTAAAAACATTACAAAGTAGAGCATGATTTAGTGTCCAAATGAGTCCTACCTACATGGTAATGCTCAATTCGAGTTTGTTTAATTGAACGAAGAAAATGACACAGGAGTTATGAAGACAGAGAGGCCAGCGATGGTTGGTTGGACCAGCGCAGGTTTCCTGGAGGGAAACAGGGCTTCGACGGGCTCCCAGGGACGGGGGAGGCTGGGCTGAGTGGGGAGGAGGGAAGCACATCCGCACCGTTAGCACGAGCGAGGACACGCTCCATCGCTGCTGCTGCAGTGACCACAGGTGCCGGGCCGCGGCGTCAGCGACACGATCCTGAGAGTCACGACTTAGGCAGGGCTCGCCGTGGACCAAGCGCTCTTCGAACTGGCTTTCACTTAGGAACTCATGGCAGCCACCGTTGCGCTCTACCGTGTAACAGACGAGGATTTACCAGGAGGGACACATGTGTCCTCTGGCGAGTGAGCACGCGTCTGCAAACCGTCCCCTCTCCCCGAACCTAACTCTTCTGTCCATGAAATGTGATATGCAAACTTCTCATTCATGCTGTTAAAACAGAAAGCAGTACCTGAGAAGGAGGTATTTAAATCGACAGGGGGCTGGCCGTTCTTCTTTTAAAAAACTGAAAAGGGAGGGGGAATCAAAGGGGACACCTGGGTCCTGGATTTCTCTTCATCTCCCGAGTACGCCAAGAGATCAGTCGGTTCACCTCACCCCTTACAGAATGAACATCATTATCTCCTTGCGTGGAAAAGATTTTAAGGTCCCTGGACAAAAGGCTTAAGACACCATTATCAGCAGGTAATTGCCCTGGACACTTTCCTTGAAAAGCACACCTGGATTTGAGATTTTATTTTATTGCGATAAATGTGGTATAATTAAATTTAAAGGCTGAAAAGTAATTTTATACTAATAACCATTCCACTAAGTGGAAGTCTGTCACGTCGGTTAGCAGACGGAAAGAAAATCTTTGGTTCTATGATGGCAGAGGAGGTGGTGCATAATTATGCCATGGCAGGTCCCTGCTCTGGCTGCTTAAAGATATTGAAACGTGACGTGGAGTTTAGCAAGGAGAGGACGAGGAGGAGCTGCCCGTGAGGGGCGCTTGCACATACAGATCGACAGAGCGGGCTCGCAGCTCTGGCGGGGTGCCGATCGTGTGCCTGGATTGTCTCTGGAGGCCGCCCAGCTGACACGGGGAGTAAGAATCATGACTACTTGCTGGAACAGCACCCCAAGGACGGCTGGCACGCTCGCTCCTGCTGGAGAAGCTCCCCACGGAGGGCAGGGGCTGTCGCCGACGTTCCCGCCTGCGACAGTGCTGAGAGAGAAGCGCCTGCATCAGTCTTCAGCCACACGACTGTCGACACCCAAGGCCAGACTGGCGGCCCGAGCCCGAGACGACATCAGGGGCCCGAGGACCGTGGAGACGAAGATGGGAGTTCGAGCGAGAAGGTGAGGGGAAGGTGGCCTACGACATGCCGGGTTCTGTGCCCAGTGCTGTAAGGGACTCAGACGTCCCAGGTGAGTCCGTGCCCTTGGGCAGCATGCAGTCCAGTGGCAGATGTGAGGCAGATGTGAGAGCGGCCGGACCACGACAGAAGCAGGGAGGAGAGCAGTGATGAGCGAGGTTTCTTGGGAGTGACAGAGCTTGAGCTGGTTCAGAACGAAAGATGCAGTGGGCTCCTGGGACAAGCACTGGGGCGCAGGAAGGGACAGATTCCTCTGGCAGTGGTACGAGGCTGAGTACAAAGGGCCGGTGAGCACGCTGGCCTGGTCGGCAGAGAGGGGCTGGGGAGGAGACATGTCCGAGGCTGAGCTGTGCAGAGACGTGGGGGAGGCTAGGAACTCGGGACTTCTGCTTATAGGCTCTTCTGAACGGAGCTGAGAGTATTTTAACAGAAAAAGAAACAAAGAAAATTGGAAAAGAGACCCTAGGGCAGAGAGATTTGGGCAGGATGGCGGTAATGACAACAAAGAAGAAGGATCTGATGTAAAAAAAAAAAATGACATAAGCTGATTCAACAGGACCTGGAGACCTGCTGGGGTTCGGCAGCATCGGAGCTGACTCCCAGATTCAGAAACAGAAACACTGCCAGGAAAAATCGGAGCAAACTATACAATAACAAAACCGTTTGACAAGGTGTTCCACTTGTTTGGGTGTGATAAATTTTCTTTTCATGGGGACAGTGCTAGCAGTCACATGCTCCAGAGTGTTGGGCCTCGAGCGGCAAAACTGCCTTCGGTGTTTTGAAGAAGCCACTTCAGATCAAGAACGACTCCTTCCCACGGCCTCATTAGTTCACGCGGTATATTTTATCCCATAAAATGAGTGAGCAGGATCATTTCCTGACACGAAGAATACGTTTCTACTTCTCTTATTTCCACCAAATAGGTCTTTTCCTCCAAAGGCAGGGCTTTCTCGCTCGGAAGTTTGAGAATTTTTAGTTATTTGTACATTGTTAGAAAGAATCTCTAAATCAGATAATAATAACATAAGAGCTTTTTGTTTATTTTAAATGTTCATATGATCCCGGCTCAGGAGCAGAGTTTTTACAGCAGATAAATTAGACTGGAGACGTTAAGAGATTCGGTTCAAGACCCGGATCTTCCAGCTAGTTTTTGAGCGACCGCTGCTCTTCTCAGTCAACCTGATGGTAAGAAAGAAGATGGGAGAACATCTGGAAATGTATCCACTACACAGAAACACAAACTGGGATCAGTAAGTTTTCAGGGCGAGCGAATGTACAGGAATTCGTTGCGATGCACCATTAACACCCATATCGAGGTAAATGTTGAGAATAAAGTCACTTGATTTTGTTTCAAAGTTAAAAAATATAGTCTAATAGCATCAAAATAGTTATTTTCTAACAGTGAAAAGACCCACTCGAATCACCTGTATGTTTATGTTTCTTTTTAACTGCAGGTTGAATGTATAGCAAAGAGTTGCTGGCAGGGGCAGGGGGCGTCGAGAAGACACTGGCCAGGAGCTGCCTTGTTAAGGAAAGGCCTATGTTGCAGATAGAGTTAAGCGTCCAATTCTGAACCTAAAAATTAGAGTTTTTATTTTTCTTTTTGAAAAAAGAACTGAGAAAACAATGCCCGTATCACATTTGTATTTAATGCATATTTAATGCTGACTTGTGCGCAGATTTCCTCCCTCCCCTGCCAGATCTGCTTACGTCCTGCTTGGCCCGCTGGCGGTTTGGCTGCCAGCAGGGGGACCTCACGGGCCTGTCCGTGCAGTTGGCCCTGCAGGTGGCACAGTGGTAAGAACTGGTCAGAACCTTCCGGGCAGGCAGGACGAAACTCTATTGCACACACATCATTTCTTTTTACTACTCATAATGGTGACGGTGCTGTTCTTTGCCTGGCTTTTGTCTGTGTCATATCTTGGGCACTCTTTTTGTAGGGTGTGAAATAATAACGTTTGGAAGATTTCAAAAAGGCTGGCAAGTGTGACTGAATTATGCTATAACTGTAATTCAGTTATTAAGGATTTGAGAAAAAAATGGCAGATTTTCATTACGGAAGTCGCACTTCTCCTGCATGAGGTCGATGTATCCACTTATATGGGCGATAAAAGATACCCCTGAATTTCTGGATGCGTATTCTAAAGCCCCTAAATATGCGAATACATACATGGTCATATCATTCTGGGATCATTTCCCACAAAGAAAACTGTCAGCAGAAATTTAAAAATTTACTTGCATAAATCGCTTTATTTATTTGAGCCTGTTAATTCAGATTCATGAAAAATGATTTGCATGCTGTTTCTAATAATACAGCAGGCTTTGTAACCACACAGATTCTCTAAATGAAAA